ATTTGTATATTATTTATTCTTAATATGGCTAATGTTCATACATTACAAAATATTAAAGGTCATCGACTTGATAGTATGTGTGAGCAAGAGCTGGAAGAAAAATTATATACTGCTTTCAAATCCAAGACCGAAATCAATGACCTTAGCAAGAAATTATAGGATAAATATTCTAAGCAAATAAAGGATTTTGATCGGGAGAGAAAAGGCTGGAACCGGGAAAGAAAACAATGGGAGGATGTATTTAGTAATATTAATAGTGATAAATAGAAGTTACATATCCACGCTTTAGAACTTATTAGTGAGACCAAGCAATTAAAAATCGAAAATACTAGCCTTACCTCTGGGAATATTTGTAAAGATCTTTCTCTTGTCGAATCTAAGGCTGGGAATATTACAAAATTCAAGAAAATCAAATCACTTGAGTCTATGATCAAGATATTGAAAGGTAAGTTGTCTTTGGTCCAGAAAGATGTAGTTTCGATTCAAAATAACTCATTGAAAAAAGAATCCGAGATATTATCCCTTAAGTCTAAAATAGCTGAATTAGAACAAATAAAATATGAACTAACCTCTAAAGTTAGTGAGTTGAAGTATCTAAAATCGGAAAATATATCGAAACCTATAATTGGTAAAGATGACGAAAAAAATATACAAGGCAGTGAACAGACTTTCCTATCGAATTCTGATGAAATAGCTGCGATTAGTGAACCTAATAATCTTAGTAAATATTTAGTACATGGAAAAAATATGGATCGGGCAGAAAAAAATGATACTATGTGTCTTGAGTCAAAGACTTATGGCTCTGCCACTGACACTAGCTCCTCTATTATATTAGCTCATGTTGATGATAAAAATACTTCTATATCCGAACTACCAAAAAATGATGTTGAGAATATTCACAAGGTAAGTGGTGAAACTAATATTAGTGAAATTAGTAAGGTTAACATGTTAAATACATCGATAAAACCAGATATACATTCAAGTACATCTAAGAGTGTGACGCCATACCTTGAACAGCGGGAAAATTACAATTCCTTTTCAATGTCACCTCTATCTGCATATATCTTTCTTATTTTGTTAATTATTGCAGTTGTGTGATTTGTAAGACGCATATTCCATATAGATAGGCTCGAAGCGCCATTGCTCCACAGGCCCGAAGGAGTGACTCTAGGCTCGAAGAGCTATTTCTCTGAAATAAAGGGTCATAAAAAAAGTGATCGATTGCGGGATATGTGGATCAGGTGAACATCTATTTAAACTTGAATATTATTTATGTACGAAAAAAATATTATTGTATAGTATCACTAATATTGGGCCATTAGTGAAATACTCATTACAAGATTTTAATATATTTCATAAGCCATTTTTTCGCCTCTCTCTGGGAATATGCATCAATCTGCTTTTCTCTCTCATCTGAGTCTTTAATCTGCATAATTTTATTTGAACTTGATGGTTGATACTTTTCATCTTCATTGATAAACCGCGCACATATTGCCGTTGTCGCTCCTAAGTAATAATTGATATTTATTTCCATATTTTGCTCTTTTGCAATGTCTGCATACTCCATAAAATTGCCGACTCTATGTGGCTCCTTTCTACCCTCTTTATTATAGAGAGGTGGGTCTTTTACAACAACGTAGCCAAACCATTTGCCAGGATCAGGAATTCTCTCATTTCTCTCTCTCATACGACCTATAAAGCAATTGTTACAAAGATTCCATTTCTTAGGCTTCCACATAGCTGTTCCAATAAATTGACTAAAGTCCCATTGTTTATGTTTGGCCTCTCTAAGAGTATCTTCAACAATTTTATGGATTGATCGTGTATTATTTATATCCATAGCTTCCCACATGATTTTTTCACCGATAAATTTGAAAAGCTGAGACTGGCCTTGTTTTATGGTATCAATTCCTTTTTTAAAAAGATTATCTGGCTTGAAATTGACAACTCCTTCATGTGGTACACCAAAGTATTTTTTCTTGCCGGTAAAGCAAACAGGAAATAATACCTCTTCGTATGCCATTTTAAAATAAGATGTACCATTTTTTATCCTAAGATAAGCATTTACTTGATCGCGTAACTTCTTCATTACAACCATAGTAATTTTAACCATTTCAGACCAGTATTCATCCTTGGAAAGCCGATTTTCATTAAAAGCTCTATCACATTTTTCATAATACTTATCTGGAGAGATAAGATATAAAGAATCAGTATCACCATATTTTATTCCGTAACCTTTTCCGGATACGAATTTAGCAACAAGATCAATATTGTATTGACCCGCAGAAGTGATTCCTCCAGTCAATTCACGAAGAAAGAATGGAGATTTGCTGTTTCCTGCTTCCCCGTAAAAAGTATTCATATATACCTTTAAAGCGAACTGTTTGGAATTTAAACAATTATAATCGAAACATATGGATGAATATTCTGAATTTAAGCTTTTTGGGATTTTTTTACCTTTCTCTTTAACCGAACTTATCATTTTCCCAATGTGTTCTTTTTTCTTTTCTAATAAAGCAAGTTGTGCTTTAAGATTTACTCTCTTGTTGAATAGATCCTCTAATACAATAGAATATAAATGTAACAAATCTATAGAACGTCCGACCGAAATCCCGATTTTCTCCCAAAAGTCAGAAGACAACCTCTCAAACGCTT